GTAGTAGTAGTATATATATATATATATATATATATATATATATATATATATATATCATGTATTATATATTAATAAATTTATGATATGAATAATTTATATTGCATTTTTAATATTTTTTAATATAAAATGTTATTATAAAAATTATATATCATTTCAGAGGAAGCACAAAAGTTTGTTTCTCTTGCAGTAACCCCAGATGAAGCTTTTCATGATCCTTTACGGTACCAGAAATTTCCACTTCCTGGAGGCAAACCTTTAAATATTAGGCGAGGCCCAGGTAGACCTAGAAAAGAACGTCCACTTGGTATTACACGTGGTGGAGGTACTCGTAGACCTTTTGGAAGAGGAACTACTAGGGGTAAAGGGTTAGTATTTCGTAAAAATGAAATGCATAAATATAATTTTTATATTAAATTAATTTATATGTAATATGCAATTATATTTGATTTTTTTTTTATTTTTATTTTTTAGTCTTGGATATGCAAGAGGTGTACCACGCCGTACTAAAAGTAAAGATGATGATACACATTCAGAATCCCCAAGTCCTCTTCGTCTTGGTGAAGATACTCCTGATGGAGAGACATCTAACACTGAGAGATGCATGCCAGCACCAGAAGAACCACCATATTTTCTAGAACAATGGTAAGAATATCAAATATTTTTCTTTATATTTTTATATTAATTGCATTATTAATAACAAAATAAAAAAATAAGTAAAATATTTATTAAGAAAATGTAATTTTTTAGGCCAGGGAAAGTATGTGCTTTATGTAATTTGGGTGAAAGAAGTCAATTAGGTCAGGGTGAATTGTTAAGATTTACTTGCCCTGAAGGTTTCACTCCTGAAAAATCAACTAATCGCGACGAAACAACTGATCATCTTATTGATATATCTACTGGAGACAAAAGTCCACGTGCAGCAGGTCCTGGTGCTGTCACTTGTCGTAGACAAAAAAGTCTAGCTAAGTGCAGGTATTTAGGTACAATAAATTTTCATATATGTAATTATTTTAATGTTAACTATAATTGAATTATTATTTATAGAAATACTAGTCTAACAAATTTTTCGGAACCAGTGGAAGAATTAACTATAGTAGGATATTCGGAAGAACCAGAAATAGGAACATTATTTGAATCAACTGGGCACTATTACGTTCATCAATCTTGTGCAGTATGGTCAAGCAATACTCAAGAGTTAACAACAGAATCGTTGAGTCCAGCGATAGTTCAAGCTTCATCGAGACGTTGCGCTTTTTGTTCTCATTATGGAGCTGGAATTCCTTGCAAAGTCAGTATTTTTTACTCTCTTTTTTTAAATCTTTTTTATAAATATATATAAATATTTTATAAATATATATAAATATATATTTTATAAATATAACGAGTTAATCTAAGAATTATAAAGAGATATCATAATTTAGGCAACATATAATGAATCGAATCGAAAACGATTTCAAAATATATATTATATATATAACTTTTTAAAATATTAATTTATTATTAAAATTGATTAGATTTTTTAAATTAAAAAATAAATAAATAAAGAAAAATAAAATCAAACAAAAATGAGATAGAAATTTATAAATAGTCTATAAAAAATACTCAATTGATAATATAATTTGTTCAATATTATTGGTCCTAATATCAGCAGTTGACTAATTCACTCACCAATAGTTAAAGTTCCAGCATCTGATTTATATGCTAAATGTTTTGTTTATTTGACCTAATTCAATACATAGTACATAGTACAATCAATTATAATAAAAAGTACAATACATATATTTTACTTTTTAATAGGTGGCATCGTGCAATCGTTATTTTCATTTACCATGTGCTGCAGCTTCAAGTTGTTTTCAAGATACAAAAAGTTTGTCCCTTTTTTGCAGTCAACATTTGGGACAGGTTCCACTTCTATGTAAGTGCTAATCGTTTATTTAACTAAAAAATTTATATAGAATATTTGTGTATTATATTTTGATATGTATACTATTTGTGTAGAATATTTATGTATATTAAATGTACATATTTATATATTCTCTTTTATTTTAGTGAACGGTGATGTTACATGTATGCAGTGCTGTGGAATGGGAGATGTTTCCAACTTAGTAATGTGTTCCATTTGCGGCCAACACTATCATGGTAGTTGTGTTGGTTTGGCATTATTACCTGGTGTACGAGCTGGCTGGCAGTGTGCATCTTGCAGAGTATGTCAAGTGTGCCGTCAACCAGAAGATGTTTCAAAAGTAATGTTATGTGAACGTTGTGAAAAAGCGTATCATCCTAGTTGTTTACGACCAATTGTTACATCTATACCTAAATATGGTTGGAAGTGTAAGTGCTGCCGTGTATGCACAGACTGTGGTTCGCGTACACCAGGCGCTGGTCTTTCATCACGGTGGCATTCCCATTACACTGTATGTGATTCGTGTTACCAACAAAGAAACAAAGGTTTTTCGTGTCCTCTTTGTAGAAAGGCATATCGAGCTGCCGCGTATAGAGAAATGGTTCAATGTAGTGCATGTAAAAAATTTGTTCATGGTACCTGTGACCCTGAGGCTGATCCATTAACTTATCAACATCGTAAAGAAGTTAAACCTGATTATGAATATGTTTGTCTACATTGCAAAAATATGGCACTTGTAAAAAGAAAAGATAATATTGACGATTATGGTGGAGATTTGAGTTTAAGTGCATCGCAAGAAAGTCTGTACGGTGATGGAGATTCGTCAGAATTTGATTATCAAGGAGGATCAGAGGAAGCACTGTATTCTATAGGTCTTGGAAAAGGAAAGCCATTTTGTGCGTCTAAAATTGCAAAGAAGCGACTAGGACTTGGAGGTGGAATCATTGGCCGACCAAAAGGAATTGGTAAACTTGGATATCAAAAACGACAAAAAATGACAGAATTTGGAAGAAAAAGAGGACCCAAAGCAAAAATGAGAGGTATCTTTGGTGTACCTGGTGTAGGACTGCAGGTAAAATTTATATTAGTATTATTTATATTAGTTCTTAATGTCTTAATGTCTCTTCTTTTATAGAAATAAATATATCTTAATTGTGTATATCAATTATTACAGAGACCAATGTCAGACTCATTTTCAAAAGAAGATGAACCAGGTATTGAAAATAGACTTGTATTATGTTCTGCAAAAGATAAATTTGTATTGACTCAAGATATTTGCGTAATGTGTGGTGCAATTGGCACTGACCAAGAAGGATGTTTAATTGCTTGTGCACAATGTGGTCAATGTTATCACCCTTATTGCGCTAATGTCAAAGTTACTAAAGTAATATTACAAAAAGGTTGGCGGTGCCTTGATTGTACAGTATGCGAAGGTTGTGGTGAAAGAAATGACGAGGGTCGTTTGATTTTATGTGATGATTGTGATATCAGTTATCATATTTATTGCATGGATCCACCATTAGATTATGTGCCACATGGAACATGGAAGTGCAAATGGTGTGCCCATTGTCAAACATGTGGTTCAAATGATCCAGGATTTAATAGTAGTTGGCAAAAAAATTACACACAGTGTGGTCCTTGTGCATCTCACACTGCCTGCATATCTTGTCAAGAAGCATATAATGAAGGTGATTTAATAATACAATGCATTCAATGTGAAAGATGGTTGCATTGTGCATGTGATTCGATTAAAAGTGAAGCAGAAGCTGAAAAATGTGCAGAAGAAGGTTATATTTGTATACTTTGTCGTCCAAGAGATATTCCACCACCCCATATTTTATGTAGTCAACCAAAACCACAACCAAACAAATATCCCCGTTCTCCACCACCGACATCACGCAGTCCTGATCTTTATAAACCTTCTCCTCAACAATATTTAATTGATGGCGTTTATTTATCTGAAGCTGGTATGAATCATATAAAATCATTGACTTCAGAACATCAACAAACAAGAAAGAAAAGAAGAAAAATACATCCTTTAATTGATAAAGAAGCAGATATAATGGCAACTATAGAATCTGTAGTTGCTGGTGGGAGTTTAGATAATTCTTTAGAAGAAAATGGAGGAAAAATAGATTTAGCGGATGTTAAAGACGAACCAACAGAAGTACTCAAAGAAGGTATGGTATGGACGCCACGTGGTGATCAACCACCACCAGAAGGTTTTAGTATTTATACAACTGAAAATGGCATACCAATTTTAAGACGTAAACGACAACGTAACTTACAAAAGTTAGGCATCGGTGGTTTTATTGTTAGATTAAGAGGTACTCGCAAAGATAAAGAAGAAGATGGAGATACAGAAAAACCATCGGATTCAACAGTTGTAAACGATGATAAACCACGTAGAAAACCACAGAGAAGAAAACCAAAGACAAAACTTTCCGAATGTTTTCCTCTCTACATGCAAGAGGCGTTCTTTGGTAAAGATCTTATGGATACAACCAAAGATAAGGAATTGGAAAGTAGCAGTGAATCAGATAGTGAACGAAATGTATCTGGAAATGCAGATACTATTCAATTATCTCAAGATGAATTAAAAGCAATGGAACAAGTTAAAGCTAAACAAGAAAAGGAAGAAGAGAAAGTACCTTCAGAAGCACCTATAAAACGTGAAGAAATTGTAGATGACGAAGGTAGTGATACTGAAGCTCTTGGTGATATATTGCCTATTTCGGGTGATTTACTTGACAATGATCTTGTTAATACTATAATGAATGAACCAGATGAAGACTTAGCAAAAGCTAGTGAAGCGTTAGATGAATTGGATGATACACCAGGAACGACTAAAGATGAATTAACAGATATTCTCAGTCCACATTTCAATATAGAATCAATGGTCAGAGATACAGGTAGATTATTATCAATTTTCTATTATTTATAATAATAATAATATTAATTATCAGTTACATTTTTATTAGGTTTACCTAACATGGATAGTAAAGATATTGAAGAAATATTTAAAGGGGTTTTAACTGATGAATCTCAAGAATCTCAAGAATCATCAGTTTTTCCTGTTCAAACTCAACCACCACATCCTGCATCTTCTACAACACCTCTTGTGTCTCCATTACCACATCCTGGTAAACTAATTTAATAATTATTTTTGATAAAAAATTATGATTTAAAATACATAATTTTTGTAAAAAATATAATAGGTATACAAACAACAATGCCTATAGCAAGACCTCAAGTACCTGGTACATTACCTTCTGTTGGTCAATCTAATTTAAATTCTCCAATGAGTTTTCCACCACCATCTCCATATCATTCAGAATACAGCAAGTATGTTCATATTACATATAATAAAATTGAAAAATAAAATATTTTAAATAATTTTTTTTTTTCTTTTTTCATTCTATATTTTATAGTAGTCCACAATTCAGTCCTGCTTTCTCTGAACCACGAAGTCCATGGGTCAATCCTGATGATGAGGGTACTTCATCAACAAGCAATACTACAATTTCTTATAACCAAAGAAGTAATCTTAAAATGGAAGCTGATGAAGCTTTAGGTCCAGGAGCTACTATATCTTCTGTACTTTATGCAAATATTAATCATCCAGAATGGAAAACAGAATATCCAGGTATATATTTATTTTATTTTTTATTTTGAATGTATTTTAGATATAAGTTTAATTTAAATGATTATATTAATTTATATTTATGTATATTATTTAAGCTTGGTCAGAAAGATGTAAACAAATATTGAAAAAATGGCGTGCATTGCCCAATGATAAAAAAGCTCCATATCTAACACTGGCAAGAGATAATAGAGCTGCAATTCGAATGAAAAAGACTCAGCAGGTAGGAATAGTTTTTAGAATACTTCTAAAAAAAATATAAGTGCTAGAAAAGCGTGAATCTTTATGTGAATCGTATCCATTGTCATCTTTAAAGATGTCTTGTGCTAACACACAGGTCAAACTAACAGCTTGTCCTTTGTGTCCAATACCTGTACTTACAATTATTGAAATTTCATTCACATGATCTGTTTAAAGAAGAAACTTGATAATATAATATAAAAATATAGATAATTAACTGCAATATAAAAAATTTATTATTATATTAACTTCTAATTGTTCTTTTAATATTATATTACATTAAAATATATTCTTTTATATTGGACATAATATGCAATTGCTTTATATTTATGTTAATCGCCATGATGAATGTTATTACATTATTTAATTACATTGAAACATATTCTTTACTTACATTCTAAATATAAATCACCATTTTTCTAACAATATTTAATCATATCTTCAGTCAGATCATGTTTCATTAGAAATGTAGATGCTAATTTGATATTTTAGGAATACCGATTTAAATCTAGCTTTTTCCCAATAGTGGTCCTTCATTTTCCTTAGAATCCTCTGAAGAATTGAATTTTACACTATTGCCTTTGTATGATGTATTTTCGAAATATGTAAGCCATGAATACTATAATGTAAGTGTGTGAACGAGGCACCCCTTGAACCGACAGATATCCAAGGATATACCAAGCACGACCCCAGTCACTGCAACAAGTGCACCTACCATCATCACCAAACCTGTCACAACTATGACATCAGCTCAAGTTTCTCCAGTAGTAGCTATGGCTTCCAACCAAAGGCAGATTGGACTTTTGACCTCAGTGGGCAGTGAAAAGACACAGGAAAAGAATGGAATGACTGTGTCGACCGCAGGAGTGACAGTATCAACAGTTAGCAGTAATCATCATGCGGAGGTGTGTGCGGTGCAGGGACCGCCGAAGCAGCTAACATCTACTTCCCCGAGTCCTTCTCCAACATCCACGACCCCTTCTTCTTCACCCAGGCCCAGTTCTGTGAATTCTATTAATTCCATTAACAGCCTGGCGCACCAAGAGATATCCGGTAGCCAGGCTAGAGTAGCTCAGTCGTCAGCCACGCCTTGCACATCAGCAACTGCTTCTTACTGCAACATGGGCGCCGGTGAAGGGCAGCATCAAACGTCACCATCCCAGCAACGTCCTACACCTGCTCACATTACGATCAGTACCAGTACTATCGCTAACAGTCTGAGCATTTCTCAGGCATCCCCCACTACCAACGTTATGGTGGGAGTAGGTCCTGTTCGCCAATTATCCTCGGTAGACCACCAGATTAGAGTGCTCACCCCATCTGAAATCATGCGCACCCTTCCTTCCCTCAGCCAGGAGCACTACGATCCGCCACCCACTGCAATTATTCACACTGTACCTGTACAGTCCCCGGCTATGGTGAGCCACCTATTCTGTGCCTCTAGTGTCTTGCTTTGTGCCACGTGTCTGATCGGCATTTAGTGTCCTTTCCATTTTTAGAACAAAGATAATAGAATTATTGTTGTATATGCATCAATCTCAACGATATTTTAGTTATTTTTATCAAAGATATAGAATATTCCAGTCGTTAATGCATTATTGATATGATAAATAGTTTCATGTAATGAATCATATCTCATGTTAAAATATATATTATTTTTATTAATAATATTTAGTTTAATTGATCAGACACTTTTTATTATATTATATAAATTTTATATTAGATAATTTGTTGGACTGTATTATTACAAATATTTTATTTTGCATATCTCATTATATTGTAATGGCATGTTAAAGACAACTGGTAGCACATATTTTTCTTTTTTCCTGTTCCTTCATTCCAAAAATATTTCATATAAATATTATATTTCATATAAAAATAAATATATTTAACTTCCTATTTATCCATATGATATTGCTTTTTTTAAATTGTGTTATAAATTCTTTGGTAGATATTTGTTGAATGTAATATGTTATACCCTACAATATTATAATTAATTTTACTAACGTTTGTTGCTTTTTACATTTTCAGATGCTTATGTTTTTAGTAGTACAAACACAAAAGTATTTTAGATTTGGTGTTATTATTTTTATACATATTATGATTATACATATATTTAATTATTATTATTTAATCATATTTAATAACAATTTAAATTTTTAATTGCTAACAATATATTTAAAATATAATTTTAAAGTATTTTAAATTATTTATGTTTTCAGTTGCATATGATTTTTATTATAAATATAATAAATTTTTTTTATTTTATTTAATATGCACAAGAAAAATAATCTTGTATCTTTTTGATACAAGACAAAATATATTTTTTTCTACTCAATGATACAGTGCATGGAAATATTATAAATTAATCTGAAATAAATGTTTATGGGTGTTTTGTGTGGTAAAAAAAAAATTTCTTTATATAAACTTTTGATTAAATAATATTTATTCTAGATGGTGGCTGGTTATTATAACTGTGTTGCATATATAAATATTAAGATTTTGCTAATTATATTAATTTAGTAATATCATTTGAATGTTGAATTTAAAGTACACTTGGCTGATTGTCAATTTGCCTTATTGTATATTTTATATTGCTTCGAGAAAAAATGGATCACTATATTCTTAAATTACTTCGTTGATTAAATAATTAAATAATATTAAAAAATATTAAAAATTTCGAAATAAAATATTTTATTATTATTAATAATTCGTATTAAGTATTTTATTGACACAGATTGTAAGAATATAATGATCTTCTTTTATAACTAATTTTTAGATCTAATAAAATTGTTTTTAACAGGAACAAGAGAGACTTTCCAATAGAGATCGTTCCAGTAGAGAAGCTGAACAAGAACGTCAATGGAAACAATTGCAAGCATTGCGTCAACAGCAAGCACAGATGCAACAACAAGTTATTCATGAACAACGTGTACATGGTATGTAATTCTAAACTAAAATATATATATATATTATAACATTTAAATTTTGGATTTATATTATAAATGTTTTTTGATAGCTATTACTAGAGTTCATAGACAAATAAATGACGATAATACAACTCAAGTAAATGCCGACAATACTACAGGATTAACAACACAACTACAAGTTTCCACATCACAGGTAAAATTTTAGTTAATACTATTATAATTTTTACATATTTTTTATATATTTTTACAATGATGGAAATATATTTTTATAAATATTATTTATTTTATAGGATGGAAATCATATGGGACCATTAGCTTCACCGTCTCCAGGATCACGCAATACATTTGCCGCTCCTTCCATAAAAGTTACACGAGGTTTAGCACCTCAAAGTCCTCATCAGAGTATACCACGTTTACCCACTCAACCTTGTACAACAATGACACGTCCAGTTGGAAATGTTGTTAGACCAGGAATGCCAAATAATTTTACACAACCACCTTCTCCGTTTTCTCCGCAAGCGCCACAGTCTCCTCATGATTTTCCACAGTCTCCAGCTTCATCACAACCTCAAGATCATTTTCAACGTTTTGATAGTACTGAAGCTTATTCTCAAGGTTCTCAAACTCCTAGGTCACAAATTAGTGGTACATCATCATACTCCACTTCTCCAAGAAGCGATGTCTTTTCTCAACCACCAGGTACACCACGGCCTATGTTTAATGCTCCTACTACTCGTCCTTCTACTCATGTATATGCACCATCTCGTACACCTGATCCATACAGTAGCCAGCCTCCCACACCTTCTCCTGCTCCAAATTATTCCTCACCAAGGCCAGAATCTCGACAAGATTCACAACAACCTGAAGTGTTCAATCAACAATCAGAAGTGATTAATAATAGACAGTTACGTGATCTATTGCAAAGACAACAATTTAATAAAAAAATGGAACCTGTGAGCACTACATGGAATCAAGGTATATTATATAGTAGAGATTATTTTATTTTATTAAATCATATATTTCAAATAAGTTTGTATCAATTTCTAGATAATCAAAATAATACGGAAAGCAATCAACAATTTGATACAGGTCATGTACAACTTCCACAACAAGCGGCAAGTAGTACTGGTGAAGGTACTTTCAGGCATCCTTTACCTCCTGGTATTGTTAGAGCTAGGATGCCTATTCAACCAAATGTTTTAATAAGAAATCAAATTGGTAACATTCTATATTGTTTATTTTTTCTTATTGTTGGATCATGCCATGTCCAAATTGATTATTTTTTTCCTCGATGTTTTAAATTTTATTCAAATTGAGATATAATATAATATAATATAAAGATATAATATGATATATAATATATAATGTTCACATAAAATTAGAGAAATATGAGTCATCACTGATTTTGTTTAAAAATTATATTTTGAATTCTGCGATTTTTGCCAATTTTACAAAAATTTGAATGTTTATATTGAAAATATTTATCAGATATATTTCATCCTTTTTTTTTTTTTTCATTTTGGAAGAAATAGAAAAATTTTTAAATATATCTTTTTTGAATCAAACAATTATTTTTTCAATATTAAAAATTAGAAATTTTAGTTTTCAATTTTTAGATTGCGTTTTTAAAAAATTAAAATGTTTTTTATGAATTGAATCTTATTTTCATGTTATTTCAATTAATAAACGAAAATTAATGGACAATTAATTTCATATAACAGATTGAAAAATAGTGTTATTTTAGGTAAATAGATCATTACTCTTAGGTAAATAGATCACGATGGTCGATTGATCAGTCACTAGTAGTCACTACTATCTTATGTCTGTTTTTTTAGTGAAGTGATGATTATGAAATATGATTATGAAATCAAATAGTTTTATTATCATCTCAGTAATATCCATCAAATTACCATCTTATTAATAATTTATAAAAATTTGTAAAAAATTTTCAATCTATCTTATATAATTTAAAAATATGTTATATTCAAAATTTTTTGTGCCATTTTAAATTGTTTTTTTTTTCCAAAATAAGATTTAATTGCAGATTTAAATTCATATACAAAATATATTTAAGATATTTATTAATATAATATTTTTATATTATTATAATGAGCTGTTACATATTATATATATATAATATAAAGATAGAACAAATTTTATAAATTTAATGTATCATATTTATGATTTTGATGATTTTCTTTTTTTTTACAAAATTATATTTAGAATCACAA